GAAGTTAGTTTGTTCCTGTTCCGTAGTTAAAGTTGTACCGAGTGGAATAAAAGTTGTAAGCTGAAGAAAGAGTTTAATACTCGGCCATCCACGGTACAATATTATTGCTGTTGCACGGTTTTAGAGAAGTTTTGAAACCCATCCTTATTGTTGTTGAATCAAACAGTCGCAATTAGTATTGCTTGGTGTAAGTGGAGAAATCTGTTTCCTCTCTATGAAATACCGATTCACTTTTACCGAGAGCAGTCGACAACATGGCTTCAATTCGTTGAAGTTGCAAAAGTGAGGTCAAATTTGCAGAATGTAAACAAGTAATTGGGAAAATCAATCACTTTCTTCAGTTTCGGTTTCAATTTGCCTCAATTGACAAATTATTGGAGAGTTAAGTTAAGCGAAAAAAAATGGGGAACATAGATATGAGCAAAATGTACCGGTAAATTGAAACGAGAACTTGGAAAAATTCACAGAAACTGCCAACGCTTGCCAATAATCAACAATTTGACCAAAGACAAACGTTAATAGCATCAAATTTCCGTTTATTGACGTCACTTGCGTCACTGCCAAAATGCTTGGAACAGTGTGCGGATTGCCAAGTTGAGCCATTGGTATCGGGCAAGGGGAATTTTTTAAACAGCGCATTACTGCGGCTTGCGCCTTGATGTGAGTGCTTCCATGAGTCGAATTATGCAATTTTCAATATTGCCCACCCATTGGACACGTGTCCGCCCCGGCACGTGTATTTGACTCATTGCGGCCGCAAATTCACTCTTCTCCCAGCAGCTCCGGCCTGAAGGGTGGACATTCTTCGGCTCTTTACGTGCTGAAGTAGCGTGGCGCGTCCCTTTTTTCCCCCAATTTGAATGGTAGATTGATTGGCTTCTCCAAGCGAGATTAAGGGGCGCAATTGATTAGTCCCCAGTCTTAGTCTAGTTCCGAAGGATTTTTGCAATTTCCCAATCGAATCAACGTATCGACCTGGCCCGACTTGATAATTATTGGCGGTTTTGGTCCAAGTTGTAAACTGTCTCTCTGTTACCGCCCGCTTTGGCGGCGTCCGCTACGGTTGCCCGGGCAACCCGGATTCGGCGTCACCTTGGATACGACG